AGAGTCACCTAGAGAGAAAAAATTTTTTTCAGGCTTTCACAGAGAGCAAATTTTTCAAGCAATGGCTGTGACTCATTCACATGGCTGACATTGTCAAAAGATCTAAAACTGCTGTACATAGTTTCAGGGTAAATCCTGAGGGAATTTGACTGACCTTGTCAGACAAAAGTTACATTTTTAACTATATAGGTCTTGCTTTATCTTGATCTTAACCATCCAGCAGGAAAGTATAAACACGAGGCATAAAAAGTAAAGCCATATTAATATGCTAAGCTAAAAAAGGCTCAAGTCAACAACTTCTGACACTGCCATTTCTGTTGGTAACCCTATAATATTCTGGACTATTGGACTATATTGGGTTATTTTGCTGAATTCAAATACCTACAATATTTGTTTTTTGGTGTAGTTGTTTTTTTCTTTTTCTTTTTCTTTTTTGGTGGCACTGGGGATTGAACTCAGGCCCTTGCGCTTGCCAGAGAAGTGCTTATTCTACTGAGCCATCTCCCCAGCCCCTGCACCTACAATATTTGAATGGCAATGGAACATCCATCTCTGACAAAACTAAACAAAAAAGGGGATATAAATGAAGAACCATTTTTAGTGAGAAAAAAAATATATATATATATATACAAAATAGGATAGATATATAGCTACTTTCTCTTAGTTCAATGAGAAGAAAGATTTGTACTAATAGTGTCTAGACAAGACATTATGTCTGCATCTTGTACTCTGAATAACTACTATGAAAACAACAATATGCAATGTATTAATTATTGTAACTCTCCTACTAACCTCTTTTGGTTTTTCTTCCATAATTTTATTGAGAAACAAATAGCAATGAGACAGTTTCAAACCAAATTGGTAGGACAGTTTCAATAATTAACACATTGCATACATTCTTCCTAGTGGTTAATTGCTGTACAAGATGCAGACATGATATCCTATTTACAAACACTATTAGAACAAATCCCTCTATTCATTAAGAGAATGTAACTATATATCTATCCTAACCACTTTGAATACACAGATACAAAATGGACATTCATCTGTATCCCCTTTTTTTGTTAAGTTCCGTTATTTGAATATTATAGGTGTGTAAACTCAGCAAAATATTCTAAAAGAGTCCAGTAGCCCATAATAGTATTGGGTCTTCTGCTTCACTGACAATGTCAGAAATTGTTGATACTAACCTGTTTTGAAACTGTCTTATTGAGATTTCTTTCTCATTACAATTAATTTTAAAAATAAAAATAAAATAAAATACCATTAGCCTGCCTCATAGGAAAACATTTCTAAGATTCCTTGGAGCCAGAAGAGACCTAGCATATCTAATGCCACTATTTCCCAACTCTAATGAAATTGAAGAGCAAACAATTCTCCCAAACTCATTCCTGGGGTCAAGAATTACACTGACACCGAAACCAGAGGAAGACCCAACCAAAAAAAGAACTAAAATTCAATCTCCCTAATGAACATAGCTACAAAAATTCTTAATGAAATATTGGTAAATAGAATTCACAAATAGAATTCATCAAAAGATTATATACCAGGGCAAATGTGATTCATACTTCAGTGCACGGATGTGATTGAAATTATACTACAAAGTTCCTATGATAAAACCAATATGGTACAGTTAAAAAATAGACTGGAACAGATTGGAGATGCAGACACAACTATAAATACACTCAGCCAAACATGTTCTAGATGAAAGATAGCTTTTTCAATAAATGGTGCTCAAAAAGCTGGCTTCCCACATGCCAAACAGTAAAACTAGACCCATGTGTCTCACCATGCTCTAAATTAAAAAGTGGATAAAAGATCAAATATAAAAACAGAAACTACTTTTCATGTTTGGAGTGCCTGTCATTCTGGTATTCTGAATATGGGCTGCTTGTCATGACATGCCAGTTGCTGCTATGATGTCTCTTGGGTAGGTGGATGTTCAAGAAGAAGGGAGTGGTGAATGAAAGCAAGAGACAGGTAAAGGAATATTGTGGGACTGTCCTGCTTCAAGGTTGTATATGGTGAGATTTTTGGACTTATGTGCAAACATGAGAAGTATAGAATTCTTTATCCTATTTTTAAAATATAATCTAATTCTTAAATGTTTTTATCATATTATGTAGGGACTTAAAATTCAACATATCAATACTTGATGAAAAATACCTGTTCCTTATTATGCCTAAGATGTTTGATATGCAGAGATAGTGAGGTTAAGCTTAATAGCCTAAGTTGTTTGATAATAACAATAAGCTTGACTTCTGGATGGTTAACAACCTAAGTTTGCAGACCAAAATTAGAGAAAAAGGAGGGCTGCAAGGAAAGTCAACATTTTGATCCTAACCTTCTAAGGTCAATTAAGACTCAGGACATATGAGAACTTGTACTGTAACATCATGTAACTCGGCAGTGTCTCAAATTTTCTGATCAAGGAGATTATGGTGCCAAAGAGGAAAGTGATTGATGATGTAGAGTGTGCCTAATGAGAGTCACATGGAGAGAAAACACTCTCTTAGGCTTTCACAGAGAACACATTGGCCAAGCAATGGCCATGACTCATCCACATGGCTGACACTGACAAAGGTTCTACAATCTGAGATACAAGATCTCAGGATAAATCCTGAGGGGATTTCACTGACCTTCTCAGACCCAAAAGGTACAACTCTTGTTGCATAGGTCCTGCTTTACCTTGGTCTTAACCATTTAGTAGAAAAGTATGAAGACGAAATATAGGAAGTAAAGCCATGGTGTTATGTTGAGCTGTGGGGGACTTAGATCAACAATTTCTGACATTGCCAGTTAAACAGAACACCCAATGCTATTATGGGCTACTGGACTCTTTTAGAATATTTTGCTGAGTTTACACACCTATAATATTCAAATAACAGAACAACACAAAAAGGGTATACAGATGAATGTCCATTTTTTATCTGTGTATTCAAAGTGGTTAGGATAGATATATAGTTGCATTCTTTTAATGAATAGAATGATTTGTTCTAATTGTGTTTGTAAATAGGATCTCAAGTCTGCATCTTGTACAGCAATTAACCACTAAGAAGAATGTATGCAGTGTGTTAATTATTGAAACTGTCCTAGTGATTTGATTTGAAACTGTCTCATTGCTATTTGTTTATCAATAAAATTATGAAAAAAAACCAGAAACTACTATATGTGCTGGAAAAGAGAATAGATAAAACTCTTGAAGACATAGGTGTAGGAAAAGATTTCATGAATAAAATCCTGACTGCACAGGAAATACTACAAAATATTAACAACTGGGCTCTCGTCTTATTAAAAAAAACTTGTGCACAGCAAAAGAAATTACCAGTATAGTGGACAGACAGCCACTATAGAGGATAGACAGCCCAAAGAGTAGGAATAAGTTATAGCCAGTTGTCTCTCAAACAAAGGACTAATATCTAGAACACACAAAAGATTGAATAACATGATGCACACACCCACAAATTTAAAAACCCAACCCAAAAATAGGCATCTGAGATCAATACACACTTCTCAGTGGAAGGACTATCAATGGTAAATGAATATATTTTAAAAAGCATATCACTAGTCATTCAAGAGAAGTAAATTAAAACAATGTTGAGATTCCATTTCACCCCATAAAGAACAGTTATTATCAAGAAATCAACTAACAATAGTGCTGAAAGGGCTGTGAGGAGAAAGAATTCTTCCTCCCCATTCTTGGTGGGAAGGTAGGCTGGGTCCCTTTTGACCCAGCTATCACCTTCTGGGTTTCTTTCTTGAAGAATTAAAAACATCATATCACAGCAACATATGCACAAACATGTTTATAGTGGCACGGTTAAATCTTGAAAATGTCTATCAACTGAAGAATGGATGAAAAAGATGTGGACTTCTTTATGCTAAATAAATAAAAAGTGCAATAACCTGGAATGATTATGTTAATATCAAAGTAGATTTACAGCAAAGAACACTCCTAGAAATAACAATAATATTTTCAGAATGATAAAGGGATCCATCAGGAGATTATGCATAATAGACCTAACATCAAAGCTGCAAAATACAAAGAATAAAACTCCACTTCAAATGGAAGTGAATAAACGCACACTATGATGGTGTTATTAGTACCTAATGGAACTAGTTTTCAATAACTAATGGAATAAGTGGATGGAAAAATCAGTAAGGACATGAAAGTATTGAACAACACTAGAACTTGACCTGGTTAACACATATTCTGAAAGGGATTAAATATTTAGAAAATAGGTCATTTTGGCCATGAAGCAAACCTTAATACATATTTAAAATGCTTCTATTTTTCCAGGTGTTTATATCTTTTAAAATTTTCACTAATAATTGAGAATTATAGGACCTGGGAGATAGCTCAGCGGTCTAAGCACCTGCCTGGCAAGCACTAGGGCCAAGGTTCGATTCCCGGCACCATATGCCATGCCGGCCCCACCCCTAGGTGTGCTGAGCCAGCCGCAGTGGCCATGTGTGGTGGTGAACACCCATAAGACCAGTACTGGGGAGACTGAAACAGGAGGAGCACTGCCAGTCCAACCTGCGTAGTGAGACTCTATCAAATACATAAAATTAACTTAAAAAATGAGAATTATAGTTAGGCTTACTAGTCTATAAAATATACCCCAACTTATGAGTCTTAACTAGTATTACCTCAGAAAGTGATCTCTCTAAAATAATCTTTTGGAACAACATGGGATCTAAAAATAGACCTTAGCTCCTCTTTGGTCCTTCCCAGGACTTTCCACCACACATGTCTTTGGAAGATGTTCGGTGTACAATCTGTGAGCCTCAGTGATACCTTGCTTCTTTTCACACCACCTTTTTTTCTTTCACTTCAAACACATCTTTATTTCTATTACTTGAACCTCAATTCCCTGAACAAACTAAACTAGCAAGAACATGGTACAATGTTCTTTCCTTGGATATTTTTCATTGCTTATTCCTAAGCATCAGAAAGGGAAGAGATCAAATATAATGACAATATATTTTCCACTTACCCTCGCGTTGAAAGTTTTCCCTTTCTGAGAAATTGTATAGAGTTGGGGATATTTGAGCAGGTCCTTCTGACTGCAACATTGTTCAAAAATTCCCAGAGTAAAAGGTGGTAATGAAGTAAAAATCTACATAAAAGATAGGCATCTGTTAAAGGTTTTAGTTTATACAAGACTAAATAACACTGTACCCATGTCAATTTTTATATATATATATTAAGTATATATAATATATAAATATATACTTGATGTATAGTATATATCAAGTAAATTAATAAGACATTATTATGGGAGAAGCTGAATAAGTGATACATAGAATTCTCAATTGCTGCAGCTAGAGGTAAGTTTTAAACTATTTAAAAATAAAAGATATTTATGGAAACAGTATTATTGTGCCACAGCAATTCACATGGGTCTACCAATTCATGATAGTTTCTCAGACTGATTCAACCCTTTGATTCAGTGCCTCCTGATTATGTAAACTAAGCTTTATGAGCATAAAATGAATATATTTATTTTGTTGTGTTTATGAAAATAAAATGGAGTGGCTGGCTATTTGAGTACTGGAGATAATATTGTCCACTAAATGTAGCAATCAGGTCATACAATTCTTGTAGATGAACTGCTTTTATTATGCGTTGCTCAATTGTCAGTACTTGGAATATAGAAGGCACCCAAAGAATACTGTTGTTAGACTAAATGAAAAATAATGTTACCCAAATTTTTATTTTTATTTTCAGAAACTTAAAAGCAGTTTTTCATTTATTTACTCTTTGAATATTTATTTTTAAAAGATCATGCCAGGAACTTGCCCTTTTGAAAGCTCTGGATCATTTCAGGAAAGGAGCCTTGTAACAGAAAACACAATATTACGGGAGCAGTAGGGAAGAAGAGGACAAAGCAGGAAGGAAGAAAAGTGAGAAACAGAGATAAAGAAAACTGCAAGAAGGGAGAGGGACGTATATGAACTCTATTGACTGTAATTCTGCCCACCTCCTGTCAAGAAGACTTCTTAGAAAAATGCTCCTAGAAGCTCATAGGAAATGGTGTTTCTTCCTATTCCTGCTTCACATGCGGTCTCTTCCCACAGCCATTTAACAGGGAGTCTTCACAGAGAGCACCCAGGAAGGGTTCTGCTTCAGTGAGAAAGTGTTTTTCACACCTGTGCATATCTCCTATTTTCAATTGTACCATCAGCCAAATCAAGTCAGTCGGCCACGTCCAGACACAGTGTGAGCAGGTCAACCAAAACAGGAGGCTGCTGAGGAGCCTGAACAGGTGAAGGCCTTTGTTATAACAATCTGACACACTACATTAACTCTGCTTTCTCCTTAGAATTTTGTATGAGGACTGCATTGGCAGCAATTGAAGAAAGTTTTCCTTCTTTTCCAATCTATTCATTTAAAATTATTTATTAATTGGGCCAGGGAGATAGCTCAGCAGCATAAGTGCCTGCCTGGCAAGTGCAAGGTCCTGAGTTTGATCCCTGATACCAAAATAAATAAATAAATTTAAATAAAATTATTAATCGTTTTTGTTGCACTAACTAGGATCTCCAAATAATATTGAATGGAAGAGGTAAACATATGTTGTCGTCTTGACCCTGATCTTAAGGAACATATTTATGGTTTCACCTTTAAGTATAATGTTAGGTATAGAGGCTTTGTAGAAGCCTTGATTTAGTGCTCATCAGGAAGAAATAATGAATTCTCCCAAGTGTTTTTACAGCATCTAATAAGATGACGATATGATTCTTCTTTTTCAATATATTAACATGGTAGATTACATTGATCAAATTTTAATTGTAAAGCAAACTTGCATTCCTGGAGCAAAGCCCGATTTGTGAAAAAGTATTCCATTTTTTACATGTCAGTGCATGTGATTTGGTAGATTTCTGTGAGGTTATTTGCACCAATACTCGTGAAGAGAATTTATGTTTTTCTGTAATAATTTTTTTCTAGTTTTGGAGCCTGAGTGAAGCTTCATCATAACTAAGTTGGGGGCTTTCCACCTCTCATCTTAAAAACGTTTTAAAATTTGTTGAAACATTTCAGATATTTTTATGAGAAAATTTCTCAGGATTAAAAAAATTTACTAGACATGAGGTCATTTAGTACCAATGGAGTCATTTTGTAGCTTTTATCTTTCAAATAATTTATCTATTCCATCAATAAATTGATCAATTTCACCTAATATACAAAATATATCGTAAAGTTGTTCATATTTCCTTATCCTTTTTACTATCTGTAGCCTCTGAGAGAGTACTATCTGTACTCTATCTCATTCCTGATATCTTTGCTTATTTAAATATATACTCATCAGTTTATATAGAGATTTATCCACCTAAATGACTCCTCAAAAAAGTCAGTATGTTTGTCATTATTGCTTCTCTATTTTACATTTCTTTGCATAAAATGTTTCTTTTGCTCTGCTTAGTTTGGGCTTCATTTTCTCTTCCTTCCATCTTTTCTTTCTTTCTTTCTTTCTTTCTTTCTTTCTTTCTTTCTTTCTTTCTTTCTTTCTTCCTACTTGCTACAGGGTCTCACTACACAGCTCAGACCCATAGTGGTACTCCTGTCTCAGCCTCCTCAGTGCTGGGATTACAGGAGTGAGCCACCACACCCGGTTTTGGTGTCTGGCACAGCACACCCTAGATTGCTGAGCTATGTCCCCGGCCCTACCTTTTCTCTTATATTTCTAGCTGAGAATGATTCTTGGGTCATTGATTTTAGACCCTACTACTAATATAAGCAGTTTAGTATGTGTGCTTCGGAAGTGAGCACAATAATATAAACATTTTATTTTAACTTATTTTTATTTATTTATTTATTTATTTTATTAATTTTATTGAGAAACAAATAGCAATGAGACAGTTTCAAAACCGATTAATAAGATGGTTTATTAATTATTACATTGCATATTGTTGTCTTCATAGTGGTTATTCATAGTACAAGATGCAGACAGGATATCCTGTCCAAAGACTATTAGTACAAATCTTTCTTCTCATTGAATTAAGAGAAGTAGCTGTATATCTATCCTATAGCTTGTTATAAGCTATGTTATAAGCTTCTCTTCTGGAGAGTTAACAAGTTAGTTTACAGACCAAAAATTAAAGAAAAAGAAGGGCTGCAAGGACAGCCGACATTTTGGCCCTAGCCTTTCAAAGTCAGTGAGGACTCAGGACACAGGAGAACCTTTACTGTAACACTATGTAACTCAGTTCTGGCCCAAATTTTGTAATCAAGGAGAGTATGGGGCCACAGAGGAAAGTGATCGATGATGTAGAGTGTGTCTAAGGAGAGTCACCTGGAGAGAAAACATTCTCTCGGGCTTTCACAGAGAGCAAACTCGTCAGGCAATGGTCATGACTCATCCACATGCTTGGCACTGGCAAAGGATCTGCAAACCGAGGTACAGGGTTTCAGAGTAAATCCTGAGGGAATCTGACCAATCTTGTCAGTTACAAAAGTTATATTTCTTGTTATATAGGTCTTGCTTTATCTTGGTCTTAATCATCTAGCAGAAAAGTATAAAAATTAGGTATAAAAAGTAAAGCCATATTAATATGCTGAGCTGTAAAAAGGCTCAAGTCAATATAAACATTTTAAAATGTAAGTTTTTTCTATCCATTCCTTTAGTGGTAAACAATTTGAAGTTTTTATTCTATTCAAAATATTTTCTAATTTCTCTTTTGATTTCTTCTGTAACCCATGGTACACTTAAACATTGTTCTTAATTTTTAAATATACAGGCATTTTCCTAGTATATTGTATTGATTTCTAGTTTAAATACATTGTACTCAGAGAACATACTCTGCATAACATCAGTCCTTCAGAATTTATTGTCTTGTTTTGTTGCCTAGAGTGTCATTTATTCAACATGCATTTTGAAACAAAATGTATATTTTGTTGTTTTTTGATGTAGTTTTGTGTGTCGATCCATCAAATAGCTATCACATTGTTCAAATATTCTATAATACTTTCTAAATTTTTATCTGTAGTTTCTACCCATTAAAAAGGAAGTCTTAGAGGCCAAAGACATAGCTTGGCAGTCTTAGCACCTCCCTGGTAAGCAGAAGAACTCAGGTTCAATCCCCAGTATGGCATGCCAAGCTGCCCCCGTACCATGCCAGTCACTGAAACCAGGTGTGGTGGTGCACACCTGTAATCCCAACACTGGGGAGGCTGACACAGGAGGATTACTGAATCCAAACTGTGTAGCAAGACCCTGCTTCAAATAAATAAATAAATAAATAAATAAGCAAATATTTTTTTAAAAGGGAGTCTTAAATACCTAACTATATGTCCAGGTTAAATGAATTTATATTTAATTATATCAGTTTTTATATACCATCTTTTTATTTTAAAGGTAATTAAAAACAATAAAAATGATACACAATTTCAAAACAAGATAATAGGAAGTCAAGTATGGTCATTTATATATTACATATTGTCATCTTCAAAGTAGTTGCACAGATTACCAGATATAAGCAGGTAAATGATTGTATACTTGGAATTGTGTGCTCTCAATAAGTTAATGCCTTTATCATTAAAGTGTTCATCTTCAATGTATCTAATAGGATACTTTAATTAGTGTTGGTGTCTTCTGTGTCTTCTGTGTCTCATTTGATTTTTTTGGCCTAATAATCTGGTTATCAGTATGTATGACAATTAACTTTATAAGAATCTATAGGAAAAGTAAATGAATCTGATGCTGACCCCCCAAAATTACAATAATGGCATGTTAAGGCAATCTGGCTGTGACAGCTGTCACCGCAGTGATCTTCAAGGTTGATCCAGCTGATCGCTGGCCAGGCCAGTGTCATTTTCCTCCCTTGCTGCTCTGAGAGTCCCTCCTGAGGGTGGAGAAGGGGGTGGTCAGGAGGGTAGAGCAGCTGAGCTCCCCTGCTACATTCTCCAAACAAGCTCTCAGAAAAGGAGTGGAAGCAAAGGGGACAACAGAAAGAATTATGGGGCTGGGGAGATAGCTCAAAGGTTTAAGCACTTGCTGGGCAAGTGCAATGACCAGAGCTCGATCCCCAGTACTGCATGACATGCCGGCCCAGAACACCGGGTGCACTGTGCTGGCCCCAAAACTGGGCATGGTGGCACACACCTGTAATCCCAGAG